TTTTATAAGAGTGCAGACCCAGAATATATAAAGAGCAATTACAACTTGAAAATAAAAAGACAACCCATTTTTGAAATGGGCAAAGGATTTGCATAAACATTTCTCCAAATAAGATAAACTAATGGCAAATAAGCACATAAAAAGACACTCAAAAGAATTAGTTATTAGGTAAACAAATCCAGAAGATACCACCTACTAGGTTGGCATGACTAAAAGAAGAGGGAAAGTAAATGTTGGTGAGAATGTGGAGAAATTGGAACTCTCATACATTACTGGTGGGAATGTAAAATGGTTCCGGTGTGAAGAACAGTCTGGTTGTGGAAAACAATCTGATGGTTTCTCAAAAAATTAACCATAGAATTAGCATATGTCCCAGCAATTCCATGCCCAGGTACATACTCAAGAAAATTAAAAACATGTCCACATAAAAATGCATAGAAGAATATTCATAGCAGTATTATTCCAAATAGCTAACAATTGAGAACAACCCAAACATTCATCAACTTATAAGTAGATAAATAAGATGGGCCATATCCATACAACAAAATATTATTTAGCCATAAAAAAGAATGAAGTACTCATATGTGCTACAACATGGATGAATGCAGAAGACATTATGTTAAGTGAAAGAAGCCAGACTCAAAAGGCCACATATTGTAGATTTCGTTTATATCAAAAGTCCAGAAGAGGCCAATTCATAGAGACAGAAAGTACTTTAATGGTTGCCCAAGCAATTGGGAGAGACTGCTAAAAGATTCAGGGTTTCTTTTGGGAAAATATTCTGAAATTCGTGGCGATAGTTGCAAAACAATGTGAATATACTGAAAGCCACTGAACTTTATAATGGTGTATTTTATGTTATGTGAATTATATCTTTATTAAAATAAGAGAAAACAAACAAAAGCTATGGGGCGTGTCAATAATTATAATCAATATAATTCTGTGTACCCTTAACCCCTCAAACAAATTTTAAGGCAAAAAATCCTGAGGGCCTGAATAAAAACCCAGCATCTTGGGATATGGCCAAGTAGGACCACACTCAAGAGTAACTAACTGGATGCTCCTGGGAAAGAGAGGGAGAAAAGCATGAAAAGGCTTCTGGTCTTCGATGTTGAGATAACTGAGAAGAAGATGAAGCTCTTCACTGGAACAGGAAAGAAATGAGAAGAAACAGTTTTCCGAGAAAGAGGAAAATGGTCAGTCAGTCACTGGACCCACTGAGCATGTGGTTTCAGAGGGGCCCTGAGCAGCCACCTGGGCGACACAGGACACAGGTCTGGAACTCGGAGGAGAGGCTGAGCTGCCCTGGGCGGCAGGGATGGATCCAAGGATCATCAGAACATACACGGTGGAGGAGCCACCCAGCGTCGCGATGGATGGTGAGAATCGTGAGTGGTGAGACCCGGGTGGGAGCAGACAGCTGAGGAGGAGGAAGGTTAGAGAATCAGCACAGAGCGGCGCCAGGGCCCAGGGAAGAGAAGGACGCCAGGGAGGAAGCTGCCGCAGGGCCGAGGGGGCCGCTCCCCGAGCAGGGAGAGCCCACTAGGTTTGCTGAGCAGGGATCGCGGACAACTTTTGCCTGAGTGATTTCAGTTTAAAGTACAAGCGTGCAAAGAATTGCACTTACTTGAGCTTACTTGAATGTCAATATTCAAGCTTAACAAAACAAATTACTTAAAAAAAACACGCAAATGAGTAAGGGAAAAATCCTGTCTCACTTGTCCACACAGATCCGCATCCGGTCACCTGGCTTTAGTCACACATTCCCCAGCCAACGACTGCATCCCCTCCTCCTCCCCCTCCTTCCTCTTCCCAAAAAAGGCCTTTATCACGAATGGATGTGATGACATATGGAAGTGGGGGGCTATTATCCCCACCTGTGCCGCCCTTGACCAGCCTGAGAATAGACCATTCTACCCTCATTAAAATGACGTTCCCAGAGCCTTTTTAATATAAAGGGAAATGTGGTGCTTCACAGTTCAAGGGAAACGAGAACATTAGCTTCTTTTTACTATAGGATCATAACTATATAAAACGTGCACTACAAAGATGGTGAGAATATGGGCACATGAGCAGTTGCCACTGGCTATTCCTGCAGTATTTGTTTTTTTCCAATTATATGAGCTTTTGGATATGTTGAAATTTTCCTACAAAGAGCATGCATTACTTTTAAGATCAGAAACATGGTAAGGCTGGGAAAAAATGTTTTAATCAAACTCAAAGCAGAAGGTAAGCAGAGATAAAAAAAATATTAATGCTAGACAAAGTAAATGCAAAAAAGGTATTTTTATAGATAAAGGGAACATTACATAATAGTAACAACCACCATTAACAATGAAGCAAGGCAGATACAAATCTCTGTTGCCAAAGAAACTGACAAGATACAGAAATCAAACATTATTAAAAACATGGGAAGGAACAGTCATTGTAGAGGTGATGTTAAAACACTATTATCAAAAAGACTTAAGAAGACAAATTCGTTGTCTATCTAAATACATATAATTGATGTCTGGCAGGAATTCAATTCCATGATTACAGTGTGGGGATCTTTTCAAGTGTACATAGAACATTTACAAAACTCAACAATACTAGTCACAAGGAAAACCTCAATAAAGAAAAAAAAAAATGTTAAATTTCTCTTCCCATTAAAGAGAAAATATAGAGGCTAGAGCCAGAGAAAGAAAAGAGAGAAATGGCATTAATGTAGTCCACTCCGGGTACCCTAGGTATTTGGGGGCGCAGGGAAAGATGAATGGGAATTAACTTTATGGTTACGATGGACCAAATACCTCTTCCTGCTTTTTCTCACCCTCTGAATACCTTCATTTAACCTGAAGTGCGAACCACTGAAATGGTACTTAACTCAGTAGTTCTCAAAGTGTGGTCCCTGCACCAGGGGAATCACCCAGGAGTTTGTGAGAAATGCAAATCCCTCGGCCCCATGTGGACCTCTGGAAGCTGAACTTCCTCCAGGGCGGGGCTCCAGAAGGTTCCCCTGTGAAAGCGTGTGATGTTAAAGGTGTACAAACACCCTGGCTCCCTCAGCCCTGGAGCAGGTTGACTCTGAGGGCTGGGTTTTACACCGGCTCCCAGGGTCCCCCTGGGATGAAGCTCCTGCCACCCACAGTAGTAATCTATATGACACCCCCTTTGAAGGGTGCCTTCTCATCCCAGTCCTACTTCCCACACCCCTCTCCACCTCCCAAATAAGCTAATGCACTCAACTCTTTCTCAGGATCTGTTCCGGGGGAGCCCAAGCTAAGGCAGCTATTGGTGACGCCTGCTCTCACTGAGTGTGCGTCCTGCTTGAGACTGGCTTGACCTTCCATTCCCTCCTCTCTGGCCGGGCTCTGGGAGACTTCTGTGGGAGAGGGAGCCCCACCAGCAGTCCTCACCCCAGTCCAGTCCATTTGCAATTTCCTCTCTTCTCTGGGTTTGCCAGCTCTTCTGAGTGGCACCTACGGCCACTCTGTCTCTAGCCCCTTTCCCAATGGGTCAGCTACCAGCCGGGCCCTGTGGGACAAAGTCCCGCCCCGAGCCTGGAGTAAGGAGGTGCAAGTCATGGGCAGTGTCACAGGCTCCGGCAGGGTACAGGGTGCTGGAGCAGCACTGAGCAGAGCCGCAGGATGTCAGCTGTGAGGATGTGACAGGCACGGGAAACCTGGGGAAGGAGTGGGACTTAGCCAGCAAGTGAGGGGTCTGGATAGTAGCAGGGACTCCCTGCAGGGGTCTAAAAGGACTGCAGAAGCAAGAGGTCTGCCATGGGAGCATAGAGATGCTGCAGAGGGGCACAGTGGGCCAGCCAGGCAGAGACTTTGCCAGATGACTTAGAGGACTCAGGGAACTGAAAACCTCCTTCTCACAAGAAGACTCTCAGTGTCAGTTTTAGAAGAATCTATAGATAATGAAATGGCCAGAGGTCAAGGGAGAAATACAGGGATGTGAAAACTTTAGCAAATGACCCATCTGCCCTCCAAATCCCGAGGAGGACAGTGCCCTCAGGGGCACGTTGCTAAATCCAGGCACACTCAGGCCCTCCATTTGGAACTGTAAGGCAGGTTTGGAGGGGCAGGGGGACATCAGCTCTCAGGCAATGAAACATGATAGGATCATCCTGGAGTTCCCATAGATAATCAGGTTTCAAACAGGGCCTGTGGCTCGTCCTGCCACCTCCTGCGTCTCCTAACCAGGAGCACACAAGGTGATCCTTCTATACCCAGTACGCTGAGAGCAAGGGGTTCAGTCTGTCCCTAATCCTGCAGTTGCTCAGAAGATAAGCGTCCATGGCCTTACGCATGCATCCTGGCTGGCTTTCTTTTATGTCATCAGGTATGGGGGTGTCTCTCCGCAGTGAGCACAGCGGCTTCTGCAGGCTACGAGCCAACACAGAGGAACAATTAGCCACACCAACTCCCTTCCCACCTCAACACCAGGCCTTCATCTCCAAGGACCTCAAAGGAGTTTTTGCTACTGCCATCCAGGATTTGCTTGCTTTATATTTGAAAATTGAACCATCATTTCTCACAGAGCCCAACTTCAAAAGGCCCCAAAACACTGCTCATTTCCATCTATGGTCACTGTGGGCCCAGGGGCCCAGAGGGGAATTCCAAGGTAGGATGAGAGCTGCCATCACAGGACAGAATTTCCCTTGCTCTTCTGCCTCCTAGGAAAGAACCACAGAGATGGGGCTGGGGGTGGGGGGTGCGGAGGAATTCAGCCCTTCGATGTCATCTCCTTCAGTAACAGAAAGAAGGAAAATTAAAATGTCTAGATACATCACCAGTTGTTTATTCTCAGAGCCCTAGACGACTCATGGACTAATGAACCAGTGTTGGCCTAGACATCTTCCTCCAAAACATCTCACATTCCCCAGATACGCCCCAGGAGTAGGGGACAAGGACACTTGGGATCACGCTGGAGGGAAGTGGCATTTTCCCCTGTCGATACTGTGAATTTGCATGTTCCTCTCTAAGAAACCCATCGGTTGGCCACCCCCATACCTTCGTCACTGTTGTCATCCACCAGGATGATTTCCTTCAGCAGGTGTGTCGGCGTGTGGTTGACAGCACTGTGGACCGACCGCAGGATCACCGACAGGGCCTCGTTCACAAAGATGAAAATGATGGATATCTGGGGCAGCTCCTTGGAGTACTTCAGCTCCTTACACCTGGGGAGGAGAGCGGGGGGAGCCGTCAGGAAGGAGGAAGACACAGGGCTGTGGCTGCACACGGTGAGGGTGTCAGCCGAATCCTTGTACACGTCTGCCCAGCATGAACCACTGGTTCCCTCTAAGCCTCTCTCGGTAAAGAACTAAGAGTAAAACTAAGGAGGAGAGTGTTAAGGGATCCAGCCCTGCCTCTCCCAAATTTACCACCCCATATGATCGGGAAGCATCCATCTTGGGCACACATCTACTGTATCACAGGCTGCGGCCCACATGTACCCCCGGTCCTGTCAGTGGCCACCTGCCCACCTGCCCACTCCAGAGCCCTGCACTTGCTTGTCTGGAGCGTGCCTGCTTTGACGCCATCTATGCAGAGTGTGCTGGGGTTGACGCACAAACACTCAGATTCCCTCAGCCCTTGAGCGGGTTGACTGGGTTTTATACTGGCTCCCAGGGTCCCCCTGGGATGAAGCTCTTGTTACCCACAGTAACAATCTGCATGACACCCCCTATGGGGGATGCCTTCCCTTCCCAGTCCTTCTTCCCCAGTCCCCTTTCCACCTCCCAAATAAGCTAATTCACTCAACTTTGTCTCAGGGTCTGTTTCTGGGGGAACCCAACCTAAGACATCTACCGCGGAGAACCCTGCTCTCATGGAGTCTGGGAGACATAACACTCCCATGCAAATAATCCTCAAGGAAGCGGGTCTTCTGCCTGGGTAGGAGTGTGCTTCTGACATACCCCAGCTCTTCTCACCAGTATTCCTAGGACCTCCCTGGGGGCAGGAAATAGCACCACCTGCCCAACAGGTCCTCCCTCTTAAGACCCAGCAATTCCCTCCTCTCTGAAGACAGGGGTGAAAGGGGAGAACCCTTTTTACCGAGGCTGGATCAGAGGCAGAGCCAGAGATGGCAGAAGGCCCAAAGAACGTGCTCTGCGTGGCTCAGGCCCCGGAGCATCCCCACACCACACTGGGAACTCGGTTTCATGCTTAGTCTGAGCCCCACTAGAAATACCCAGGGGAAACAAAGCGGGCTGGAATCCGGAGCTCCCGTGTTAACACGAGTTCCCCTTCCCCCTGCAGAGCAGAGTGCGAGGGAGCAAAACAAAGGCAAAAGGAGGAAGGAATGGAGTTAGCGAAGCGACGCTGAAGGGGCAGGAAATAGGGCTGTTTTTTATGCTGAACAGCTTGGCCTGTGTAGGGCCATATTAATCATGCAGGCAATTTTCTGAAGAAAATAAAGTTTTGTTGCAATATACATTTGTGTCTCCTGGAAGAGACCGTCCAGAGATCCATTGATCATGCAGCCTCATTTTTACCACATGGCTGTAAATTCACTTCTGGGGCTGCCAGGGAGATTAGAATGGATATTGACAGGCTCCTGGGCAGCCAGCGGGAATCATCTCATTTACTGTGAGCTGATCCAAGAGAGGAGGGCACCGGAAGGTCCCTCGGAGCCCCCTCGACTGGGGGCTGGCAGCCATCAGGAGCTGGCGGGCTGTCAGCTGCTCCTCCTCAGCCCATCACTCACCAGCCCGTGCACGTGAGCACTCACGCCTTCCACACCCACCTACTCTGAGCATTCATTCCTGGGGCTGGTTTCTTTGGTCCTTTGTTTTCAACAGCTTCTGGCCTTTGAAATTAAGAAGCAAAAAGGCCAATTTGCACTGTACCTGCACCGTCTTCTCCACCCACAGGCAACGGGGTCATGCTGCAATCAAGACTGAGTCGTGAGGCAAGTCTCCTGGCCAGAGCAGGCAGCGCCCCCCCACCAGCTGAAATGGGAAACGTGGGAGCCCGTGGAATGGGAGAGGGCTGATCCTTGCCTCTTCGTGAGTCAAGGTGGCCATTTAGTAAATCGTGCAGGAATTTCAGAAGTGAGAAATGCTCTGTCAGACTCTGGACATGCTACCCTGGGACATGGCTCGTGTTTCTTCATCTCCTATCAAAATAATCCCCACCATAGCCAGCTCTGGGTGCCTCGCTAAGGTCCTCCTAAGGATCAAGTGAGACCAGCCTTTGAGAGCCCTGTGAAAATGCAATATAACAACTAGTGGAAAGACGCGGTTCACCCGGTTGCCCCTCCATCCTTCCTTCTGGCTACTTTGCTCCCTTCTGTACATTCCCCATCACCATTGGCCAGGATTCCAGAGCTTTCACTCAACCCAGACCCTTCCTGCAGGGCCCACCCAGGACTCTCCTCCCCAACAAAATACCTCAAAGTCTATAGTGGTGTGTGTGTGTGTGCGCGTGTGCACTTCCTCTAGCAAAGCAGGCTTGGATCTGGGTTCCAGGAATCACAAATTTCCTTTCAATAACTAGCCAGTAAGCATTAAACAGTCCTTTGTCTGAACAAAGATGGTCTGGATCAACGTCAGTCACTGCTCCAGGCAGGACAGGGCTATGGAGAAATTCAGGACCAGGTTCTTCTCCTCAAAGGGCTCATGGGGAACAGATTCTTGCGAAGCTGTTCTAACAGCGAAAAAAAAGCAGATAATCATCCAACCAAGTGAGGCCTCTTAGATGCCTCACATCTGTCCATCTCACTGTCTGTCCAGCTGTCCCTATGCCTGAGATGCTTCCTTGAACTCGGTAACTCCCCTCAGGTGGTCCCTGTTTCCTCTCCCTCATCCCAGTCACCCCAAAGCCCTTGGCATTGACTTCATTCAATGCCGAAAGTGCCTGCGCTCTTGCTTCACTGATGACCAGTAAGGAGAAGAGAGCCAGAAGCCCTGACACCACTGGGAACCCACCAGAGAGAATCACAGTTGAACTGAAAGATCAAGGGTCAAGCATGGAAGAAATCAAAGCCCAAAGAGTGGGCCACGAGTCTCATAAGTGGACCCCTGTCCATGATCCCCTTTTAAGGAAACGACTGATATGACCCCAATGCAGTTCAGATAACAGGTATCAAGACACACTGTGACGCAGTCAGCCAACATGGAAACAAAAAGATGACTCCAAACATCCCCATTATAAAAAATAATTAGATGTGGTGTGGTCCAGGAGACCCAGGAGTTTACAGATATGATAACCAACACACACAGCAGCCTACATGCCAGAAACTGCTGGGAGCCCACATGTCCTGTAGTGTCTCATTTAATCCTCATAATAGCCAGTATTATCATCCCCATTTCACAGATGGGAAAACTAGGGCACAGAGAGGTGACATGGCTTGCCCTAAGTCACACAGCAATCTGCAACAAGAATGCCCAGATATGAACTTCATCATCTGATGTTCAGACTCTTCCAAATGCTCCTGCCAGACCAAGGCCAGGTGTGGTAGCTGCAGCAAACAACCCAGCACACAATTTCTAGCCCAGCTTCTTCCTAGTGGGGGACCTTGGCTAACTTGTTCAGTCTATTTGAGCCTCAGCTTCCCTATATCTGCCCTAAAAGCCCTGGCTAGGAGATGCCCTCTGTGGACAGCTGCACCATGCCAATGGCCTGCTGGGAGCCAACAGAGTACAGACCAGGAGAGTTCCTTTCAAGTGGGATGTGGGTGAGCAGAAGCCAGCCCCCAAACCCAGGATTAATGAGGCTGGTGGGAATGTGGGCAAAGATCCTACTATTCTGGCTCTGAATCTGGGCAGGGTGTCACCTTGGGTGTTGCCCCCAGGGAGTTATCATAAGCTTTTTAACTGAAGGTCAGAGAGCCCCAGGACCTATGGGGCCGGATGTGGAGAGTGTACCAGTGTGTGCTCTGGATGGCTGAGTGGGGGCAGTTCTCGGCGGGTGCACCCAGGCTTGCACTCAGGCTCCAGTTCTGTTCCTGGTCCCATTCTTGGCCATCCACCCCTCAGGTTCCATCTGAAGTGAGGGCTCCCCTTCCAGGGCCTGCCTGGTGTCTCTGCATCACTTGGCTCACGTGGCCCATCACTGTAAAGGCAATCTGCAGGGTATTCTTGGCTGCTTACTTCAGCCTGGCTCCTGTGCAACGATGTCCCTCAGTTTCTGCCCAACATCTGCCCCACCCCAGTGAAGGGACCAATTACCTAGCATTGCCCAAGCTCTAACTTGCTGTCAGTAACCGAGAGTCCTGGGTTTTGACAGCTGAAACACACCCAGGACTCCAACAAGGCCGTTTGTAATGCAATGCAGTAAATGCTAAGTGCCCGGCGGCTGTACCTCCACCAGCTGTGATGGATGAGCTGAGGGGGACCAGGGGGGCAGGGAAGATGAGCTGTGAGCTGGATTTGAAAGATGGATCAATGGATCAAACTTGCACGATTAAGGACGGAGGGAGGGGCGGGCAATTAGAGCTCTTCTGAGCACACAGAGGCACTGGGGTCCCCTTATTTTTGCTCCCAGGGCCTTCTAGAAGAAATCTGTCTAAGTTTATTTAGAGATGGAGCAGTAAAGAGCCTGGTGTTGGAACCTCAGGCTCACATCCAACTCTGCAAAGTCCTACAAGGCTGATCTTCATTTTCAAAATACTTCAAACTCAGGCATTAGGTCATAAAGAGCCAAGAATAAAGATTCTACAGCTGATGGTGTCTGTGCTCTCAGGGCCAGGCCTCTCTCACCAGGCTCCAAAAGGCAACATGGACTGATATAAGGGGGAGGGACATTCAGGGGTCTAAGAGGAATAGGTAGTTTGAGTGAGAAAACACCGCCTTGCCACCCAAGAGCAGCTGTGCTCTAAAGAGAAAACTCTTGATAACTGTGACAGATGTAGGGGGACACCGTCACAGCCACTCCTCACACTCTGCAGGCAAACATGGAGGCGAGGACTCCTTCCACGAGGGCCTCACCACCATCATCACCTCCATACAACATCACATCCACTTCAAAGTGGACAGTCCAGGTCTCTGAGTGTCTACCTTATAAATTCTGAATGTGCCTTCTCTACGAGAGCAAATCTGGAATGTGCCTCTGTGCCCCCTCTCCTACACTTCCAGAACTGGCACACCTGTTCCCTGGCCTCAATGGCCACACTCTTCCTTGGCCTGGCCACACCTTCACTGGTCAGCATCACACACATCCAAAGCCCATATTCTCA